GCCTATATGGGTACAGTCCACTAATTCAAGCCTCATTGAAAACAGTGTAAAATCAGCACTGTTCAGGGCCCAATAGCATGCATGCCAACATCCCTGAGATTTGTGAAACACAAATGAAATTATTGTCTAGTCCCTAATCTTTCCATTTCTTTTCATTTTTTGTGGGTTAACCAATTACATTTTTAATTATTCCCACAAAACAAAATCACCCCCGAAAAGTGATTTTTCCGAAGTCCGATTGCAGCCATTTTCCAAGTGGCAACCCTCAACTTTCTGGGGCACTTACGACCATTTTTCAACCGTAATTTTTAGCCCTTCTGCTTTCATATGAAAGCTCAAAGACCCAGAGAGTTGATCCTCACAAGGATTTACACAATCTCACCATTTTGAGGGCCAAACAATCTCTTTTTTCAAAAGATACTGTGGGGCACTTCTAATGCTAATGAGCTGGCCAGAAATTCTTACTTGAATTAGTGGTCTGCACCCATTTAATCCTTGAATGCAGCTCAGAGTAAACGATGAGCACAGGCATTGAAACGGCAGGGAGGAAAATGGCGACGCACAGAATTACCAGACAGATCGGATTCAAGTGTGTGGAATCTTCCAAGAGAGACGGAGAAATGAATTTCAAACGAGAACAAATTTGTTGTAAGCAACCCTTCTCATTAGCGTGATGGGAATGATGTACGTGAACATTTTGTATATTATACTTAAACTGGATGAGGATGCACGCTGTTGTTCTGAAAACGAGAATTTAAAGGAGAAACTGAAGCTACTAAAGTTGAGAAAGAGCATTGCATGTGCTTTTAGGATTGAAATAAGAGGTGACGTATGGGTCACCGTGGTATGTGAAATGACCACTGGCCTTTTCTTTTGCCTCCGATTGCAAACAGAAATCATTGTTAGCCACTATTTCGAAATGTTCTTAGCCGAGTGCCGTCGCCGCTTCTAGATTGATTTCTTCAAAAGGAACTTGCACGTGTAACAGTTATCAGTCTCCATCCACGCATTATGCCATCGTTTGTTTGTATTGGTGAATGTGTGTGCCTAACTCCAGTGCTTCAAAAGGAGCAAAGGTACGGTGGCCCCTGTCAAACGTTTGCCTGCTGTACGCAGATAAATTGAAACTAACGCGTGAATAATTGCGGAAATGGGTC